TTAAATTGGAGTTGGGTTTTTTGGGAATCCTAATATTAATTTGCTGAACCACTTGTCAAAAGGCAAGATATTTAACAAACAGGACTTCCGGCTGTGCTTCCGCCCTGATTGGAGCGGGGTCCATGATAGTCCATGGCTTCGCTCCAAGCTCTCTGGTTGGAGAGTCCCAATTGGAACTGGAACCACAATGGAGGGGTGGTGAAGGAATGGGGATCACCTGACAGGTAGAGGGGAGCTGCATCTCTTTTCCCTGTTAAGGATAACCCTTCTGAGCTACTAAAGGTAACCCCGATAAAAACAACAGGAAAGAGAACTCATAAAGATTGGGACTGGTGGTGATTTTAAAAGTTAGAGAAGAATTTGGGAAAGAATTTGGGAAAAGCAAAGAACTTAGTCCTTAAAACTGAAACGGAAGGAAAATAAAGGGAAAACTCTTATAAAAAAGAATTTACATAATTGGAACTAGTGATTGTACAGGATTTGGCATTGGATAGGCATTACTTAAAATGCTGTAATTGACTGTGGAAAAAGAATATAATAACTAACAATTGAAAATATTGATAAACTTGATGAAAGATTAAAGAAACAGTAAAAAAAGTTGGAAAGTGGAAACTGATATAAGAGCGCCACTTGCTGTTAAAAGAAAAATCCTGTAGATCCCGACAACCTGACTTATTTAAAGTTGAAATTAAAGGAAAATAAAAGGAATTGTACTGTTAAAAGACCCCAGAAAATTGGAATATTGGCTTTAAATTGGTGGAGGAATATATGAAGATTTCCCCTGGGATTTGGATACACACACAAAAAAAAGATTGATGGACTTTGGGACTTAAAGACTGGTGGATATTGGATTTACTGATGGAGAAAAAATGTTGGTTTAAATAAAGACACTGGATAATTGGACAATTGGATAGAAAAATAAAACAAGCAAATAAAAATGAGCCAAATATGAAGAGAAATAGCACTGGAACTACAAACTATAAGAGAAATGATGAACAGAAGCGTTAAGGACTTACTGAGTAAAATACAGAATGTGGAAGAAAATTCAAAAATGGCGACACAAATTACAGAAGAAACTACAGAAGAAAAGCAAGAAGGGCAGGTGGAGAGGAGCCAAACAGATGAGAAACCAGCAAGACAGAGCAGATGGAACAATAAACAAAGCTAAAGGGGAAAAGGGAAATTAAAATTAAAATGTCAATGATTGAGGCAATAAATCCAGGGGAGGAAATTCTGAGAGTTAAGCAACAAAGGAGAGAAATTTAGTGAGAGGTTTTGGGGAGGTCAGGGGCAAAACTAGATAATTGTGAAGAGAAACAGAGGAATATAACAGAATAAAAGGAAAAAGCAAGAGAAAGGGTAAAAAATGATAGAAAATGGGAGGCAAAGTAAGAAGAGATTAATAAATATTGAAAGGAGAGCAAGAGGGAAAGGATAGAGATTCCACATGAAGAGGTGTTATAGGTATACAGTGATTAATTTTGATAAAATGGGAAATCAATACATTAGTAAAGGTATGTAAATTGTTAACTAGAATAAATACAAGACTGGATATTTTAATTGGAGTAAATATGGAATTAAGTTTTTATTATAAGACTATTATTTAAGATATGTAATTGCTAACGGGATATATGTAAAATTAATATGATATTAAGGGGGAAAGTCAAGTGCAATTTGAAGGGGAAATATAGATATATATATATATATAAGGTATAGTAATAAAAATATACATATTGTTATTAGAATGTATAGCTGTTGTGGTTAGCAAGTGCAGACGGCTGAGGAGAGCAAGGTCTCAGATGAGGGGCCAGGACCATTAGGGATTGGACTGCTGCCTTCCGAGATTGGGGGGGCTGGCAACAGTGATGAGGAGGTTCCCGAGGAGCCTGCGCCAAGTGCGCGTGCACGTAGGATTGCTTGGAGGAAAGAACAGTTACAACAGCAAGGGCGACTTGGGAGTAAGGCTGCAAGGTAATGGCCCTTCCTTCAAGAAGATAAAAGCCAGCTGTGAACGAACGCACTTTGCAGAAGGCAAAGAAGTTTTGAACTCAGGCTTGTGGATATTACAGTTGGCATTTGAAGACTCTTGTAAACAATTTCTTATCTGTTGTTTTTTGTCAGACTTGAAAAAATTTGGCAAGGCTCTTTCCTGTCGGAGCTAATTAGTTGGAAGCAGCCTTTAATCTTTGAAGAAACAGGATTCTTAGCTGAAACTTAAAAAGATTATACTGCTGCCTTTGTCTTGTGTTTGCTCTCTTGGAACCAGGTTTGGATCAGAACAATAGCCCATTAAATGAATATAAGATGGAAAATATGACATATGTACTGTAATGAGATTAGAGAGTGACTTATGGTAAAAATATAACAACATGAAATGTAGTTGTATAAAAAATGTCCCAGTACTGTTTAATATGTGATAGAGATATGTAAAAAAGAAAAATCTAATATAAATAGATGATAGATACACGCACACACACACATATTTATATTTAAATTCATAATTTCCCTTACTAAAGCAGAGGGAATTTTGACCAGGTGCATAATGTACCATTTGGCCTGCCTTGTAACCTTACCAATCTTAGAGTTCATGTCAGTCTATTTTCCAAAGCACCAGAACACTAAAAAACAAGATGAGAAACAATGGATGGAAACTAACCAAGGAGAGAAGCAACCCTAGGACTAAGGAGAAATTTGCTAACAGTGAGCACAATCAACCAACGGAATAGGTTACCTCCAGAAGATATGGATCACCAGAGGCTTTCAAAACAGGACCATTTTGAAATGGGATAAATTCTCCTGTTCAGGGGGTTGGACTAGAAGACCTACAAGATCCCTTCCAACTCTATTATCCTATGTCTATGCTGTCCAAGTAGAATTATTGATATCAAAGATTATGTTCTCCTATTTTGGGGTTCTTGGAACCAAACCTGGACTGGATAGAAGACCCCCCCCCCAAAGTAATTTGTTCTCTGTAAGGTGGATCATGGAACTCGGCAGATTTGTCCCTTTCTTTCAGGTACCACTCAGAATTACCTGTTCTAAGTATCTTTGAAGTTGTGTGTTACTTTATGACCCCACACACATATCAATATTATTTCCTTAACTATTGGGTGCAAGGAATCAGGACCGCATGTTAAGTTCCAGTTAAGCTAATTTATTGCTCATGTACACACGAATCGTGTACACGCTATACACACGAATCTAGTCAACTAAGGCCAGCACTAAATTGGGGCTGGGTAAGAGTTAAGAAAATTTGAGGGTGGGGGTAGACTTCAAGCATGTGTAGATTTGTAAGGATTTTAGAGTGAGTTCTCTCTTGACTCCACCCCCCGGCTCTGCCTCTTCTGTGCCTACTTCTGCAGAAAGGGTTGGTTCTTCTTCAAGGATGTTTTTATTTTTAACTTTCCCATCCAGCTTGCAACCCAGGGATTTTCTGCCATTCCAGTACTAACCAGGTTTGACTCTGGTTAACTGTTTGAGATCAGGCAAGGTCAACTATGTACTATTGAGGACTAAGTCTGCTGAGGAGAAAAGGTCCAAGCTTGATTGTAGATGATTCAATGAACAGTCCATGTAGTTTTCAATGCAACAGTATAGCAACAGTTGATCACCTTTTGGAATGTTTATTTAACTTTCTTCTCTGGGATTCATAGGAGTCTTACAGGATATATTTTTAAACATTGATTGTAGTGTTGGTGAAATAGATGTTGTACGAGTCATTTGAACCTTCCTCTTGATATGCTGTAATTTTAAAGCACTTGTGCAGGAAAGATATTAACAGCCTGAACTGATTTTACCTAGGTTCCCACATTAATGATGGACACCCAATTTTCGGAGTTCACCCCTGATATCACACCTATCATGTTGGCTGCTCATACCAACAATTATGAGATCATAAAGCTGCTTGTCCAAAGACGGGTCACCATCCCACGGCCACATCAGATCCGATGCAACTGTGTTGAATGCGTCTCCAGTTCAGAAGTGGACAGCCTGAGGCATTCCAGATCAAGGCTAAACATCTATAAAGCTTTGGCCAGTCCTTCACTCATCGCCTTATCTAGCGAGGACCCGATCTTGACAGCCTTTCGGCTGGGTTGGGAGCTGAAGGAACTCAGCAAGGTGGAGAATGAGTTCAAGGCTGAATATGAGGAGCTTTCCCAGCAGTGCAAGCGGTTTGCAAAAGACCTACTGGATCAGGCACGCAGCTCCCGAGAATTGGAAATCATCTTGAACCACAGGGATGATCAGAGTGAGGAGTTAGATCCCCAAAAGAGCCATGATTTGGCCAAGCTAAAGGTAGCAATAAAGTATCATCAGAAAGAGGTAAGGCTTCTTATTTCTTCTTCTGTTGTGTGTGAGGATCTTTGTACCCTTTTTTGATTGTTAGAAATTCTGTTTATAGCAGTACAGATCAAACAGTCGTCATGTGCTTTAACTGCTTAACTGTAATGGGAAACAGGAAACTCTATATAGAATCAAAGAACATAAGAGTATATACCATAGATCAAACTTGCAAACACTGCCATTTACTGGCTGAATACTACTGTAGTCATTGCATAAATGTATTCTAACACTGATCTTCTCATCATCTAAGGGAATTTAACTTCTAAGGGAAGTTCCTTCAAATACCCAAGAATCCTTTTTACACCCATCCAATGCAATTGCATTGGTGCAGCAGTAAAACGACTCAAAATGCTTACTGCACAAAGTATGTCTGGACCACTATGACAGATATAACAGGCTCCCTATTGCTGACTGATATATCTCTTGATCACAGGCTTCACTTTTGTCTCACCCAAACTGTTATGAAAATCTGTACTCATAGGTGTTGGAGCAATATTACAATCTTTCATGTTATAGCTCTCTAACAATTGTTCAATTTTTCTTTTTTGACTGAGAATATAACCACCGTTCTCAGTTTTTTGCATCTCTGCACCAAGATAATTTTTTATTTGTCCCAAATTCTTTAATTCAAATTTCTTCTCCAATGTATTAGCAAATTTGTTTACCTGTGATACATCCTTTGCAATGAAGCAAAGATCATCCACAGATGCTAATAGTTGACAATCCCCACCTTTTAACTTTCAAGTGTATATGCAACCATCAGCCTTGCAACTCTTGCCCTTGTCCAATTTATACACCATGTTAGGCTTTTTAACTTTAATGCACTGGTGCTTGAACCATGTGAATTTCTTCCTCTAATTCTGCATTGAGGAATGCAGTGTTTATGTCAAAATGCCAGATTTTATGGCCATGTGCCACTGCCAACGCTAGTGCCAGCCTGATGCTTTCACTCTTTAGAGTTGGCGCAAATACCTCATCATAGTGCACATTTTTTTGTCTGTGAAAATCCTTGTGCCACTAACTATGCTTTATATTGTACCTCATTATTGGGCAGTACCTTCTTCTTGTATATCCACTTGCACCCTACAGCTTTGCTACCCTGTGGCAAAGTCATAGATATGAACACTTCATGTTCTCCCATGGATTTCATTTCCTTGTCCATGGCTTCTTTCCACTTTTCTTGTTCAATTTTAGGTAATGCCAAAACTTCCTTATAGTTCCTTGGCTCAAACCATACATTACACACCTTAACTTTACTAGCACCTGTCAGGTAGAATCCATCGCTCTGAGCTGTATGGCATTGACTGCTCCTGTGTGTCAACCCTATCTTGCGTTATATCTTTTTCAGTTTCTCCTTCCTGAATGCTGACACCATCACTAAGTGAGTAACCATCACTAAGTGAGTTACCATCATTAAGTGGATCACTGTCACTAAGTGAATCATTCCAGAAATTTGCATCAATTCAGTTCCAATTTTGCTCTGAAAAGCTAGCAGACCTTGAAATCACTATTCTTGTGCTCCCATCGCTAAAGTAATAGCTCTTTGAGCCCGGCTCATAGCCCATAAACCTGAAATGTCCCTTTCTTCTAATTGCTTTTGGAATATGCACCCATACATTGCATCAAAACACTCTTAAATGTGCCAGAAATGGTTTTCTTCCATATAGCACTGCATATGGAGTATCATTAATGGAGGAGCTCCACAACCTATTAATTAAATAATTAGCAGTCAACGTGGCTTGGCTTCAATATGACCTGCTCAGACCAGAATCCTGTAGAAGTAAGTCCTTCATGGTTTGTAAGACTCCATTCCGTCTCTCAGCAACACCATTCTCAGCTGCTATGGAAGAATGTGTGCTTCTGTGTTTTATTCCTAACTGTCCCAACCACTGTTGAAAACTTGTTGACATGAATTCTGAACCTCTGTCAGTTTACAGCTGACATACCTGTTGTTTATACCTTCTTTCTATGAAGCTTACCCATTGCTTAAATTTCTGTAGCACCTCTATTTTATTCTTTAGTAAATAGCAGAACCCAAACCTGCTATAGTCCTCTACAATGACCAGTGCATACTTTGCTCCTCCCAAACTGGCTTGCATTGGCCCAACCAAATCTGAATGTACCAGCTCTACAGTGCTTGTTGACTGCCTTGTGCTACTCTTGCTTACTGGGAATGACTTGGACTTTGGTGATTTGCATACTGCGCAATCCAAATATGCCTTACATCCTTTTACATGTAATCCTTCTGCAAATTGCATCTTTTGCAAAACTCAGAAGCTAGCATGGCCAAGCTTTCTGTTGCAAGAGATGAATACATGAATTATGTTGTGCCACATTTTCGAACATATGTGCACATTTAACCTTTTGCCCCTGCAACACATAAAGGTTATCTTGCTTTATGCCCTTTGCACATACTTTGCCAAATCTCTTTATGAGATACTTCCCATTTACAAATATGGTCTCAAACCCTTGCTTGTCTAAACTAGAGACACTGAGCAAATTATGTTCCATTTGAAGCACACACAATGTCATTAAACCTTGTTTTCAAATATGGAATTTGCACACTGCCTCTTCCAATAACTTTAGCCTTCTGGCCATTTGCCAAGGCTATTGCATCTCCAGCAGCTGATTCCATCCTGTAAAACAATTTAGAATTATTAACAATTGTTTGACTAGCCCCACTGTCTATTAACTATTGATCTCTGCTATTAATATATATATGTATATATATATATATATATATACACATACACACACACACACACACACACACACACACACATACATATACACACATATACATACATCATACACAAACACACACACACACTTACTTATTTAATTATAACAAAAATGTAAATGCTTAATGATAACAAAATAAAATGTTCTGGGCTAGAAGCCTCCCCCATCTGGCACCTTCCAAAGAGATAGAAGAGCAGGCTCTGTGTGTGTGTGTGTGTGTGTGTGTGTGTGTGTGTGTGTCTGAGCTGAGGGGCCTCGGGGCAACTGCTGTTGGGGGAAGCAGAGGGAAAAAGGGGGCTTTGCTCTCCTTGGGGGGCAGCGCCCCTTGGCTGCCACTCCAGGGGCTTCTCAGCAGGTATCTGCCTGCAGAAGGACTGCCGCTCTTGGGGATTAATTGGGGGAGGGGAGGGGGAGAAAGTGGGAGCTCCTTTCAGATCCTGGGTGATGGATTGAGAGGCTGAGATCTGCAGCTGAGGAAAAGCTGGGGGGGGGGGCTCTTCCAGCCTCACCTGGAGACAGGCAAGGAAAGGTGTCCCTGGGGGCACTTCGCTCACTTTAGCACTTCGCTGCCAAACCCAGCCACAGCAGTGATTATTTGGGGGTGGGGGGGAAGAGAGAAAGTATCTCTCGCATTACCAGGGGAGGAAAGGAGACAAAACAAAGCTCACTCTTTCACTGAGACCTACAAAACGGCAATCTACCATGTTCCAGGAGTTCTTCAAAATCATCAAACGCTCCTACTTGCAGTTCTCGCGCCTCCTGGCTCAGGTCCCTGAGATGCACGCTCCCACACACGGCAGTGGCAACAACAGTCCCCGCCCCCAGTGCCCGCCGTCAGCTCTCCCCATTAGTTTTCTAGCCTTGAATTGCTCCCAGCTCTCTCTCTTTCCTCCCCCCACCCACGTGCAGGCAGGAAAGGGAGACGGAGCCTTGCACAGCCCTCCCCTTTTCCAGCCCTTGCTGCCTCTCCCAACATCGAAGCCTCAGAAACGCAGGCAAAGCCGCCACAGCGGTAGCGCCCTGAGTTGCTTGCTTCTCCACTACTGCCTCCTCCTCCTCCTCCAGCACCACTTCCTTCTCTGGGTAGGGCATTTCTTAACTAACCGAGCATGCTAAGGCAACTCAGGACGCTGAAACAAGATGGTGGCGCCCAAGCAAACATTCTTTGTGGCCCGGTACAAAACGATCCACGGACCGGTACCGGTCCAGGGCCCGGTGGTTGGGGACCACTGATTTAGATTGTTTAAAACCAATGGCACTTTCTGAGATTCAAGAATCTACATCCCATGCTGTTCTAACTCAACAAACAAAGTTTGCATCTTTACAAAATGCTGTTCCACTGATTCTTCTGGTTTTAAATTGGCTCTGTATAATTTTCTTGATAATTGCACAATCTTGCATGCAGACATACTCACATGCACACTTCTTAACTTTAACCAGACTTCCTTTGCAGGCTTTAAATCAGCTACATTGGTAAACTGTTCATCTTCTAAACTTAAGATGATATAAGCCAGCGGTTGCCAACCGCGACCCACTGGTGGTCTGTGAGAAAATTTTGATGGTCTGCAGAGAAGTGTCACCCCCAGAGCACCCCCCAAAGCAATTAATCCAGGCTGTGCAGGAACACAAGGCTGCGTCGCGCACATGGCCCGCAGGAACCCTCCCCATTCACTCACTCCTTACCTGGCAAACTTGCCTGCTAAGTTGCTATGTTTCTTTTTTTCCCCCAACCATCAGCTGTTCTGCTGTGCTGGGATATTTAGATTAGCTAGAAAGCAGGAAATCGTTGCATTTCTTGCTTTCTAGCTAATCTTTAGATCTTTGGCTGTGCTTTTATTCAGTGTAGGTAACCAATGGCAGAAAGATAGATCTCTGAATGATTCTGTGAACAACTCAATCTGCCTGCCTGCTTTGCCTCATTTTGGGTAAAAGTTGCTCTTTTTAAAAAAATAAAAAATTCAATATTTGGTATGTTGGTATGTTGGTATGTTGGAGTTAGTTTTGTGAGTTTGCTTGCCAGCAAATGTTATGAGTTTGTTTGCAAGCAAATTTTATGTGACAGACTCAGATAGCCGATGGCAGAAACACAGATCTCTTAAGTGAATCTGTGATTCTTGAGCAACTCAATCTACCTGCCTGATTTGGGGTAAAAGTTGCTCTTTTTTATAAAAAAATCAATATTTATATAAATATTTATAATATTTATATACAAGCCATGCCCAGCCAATCACATTACCAAGCCACACCCACAAATTAGGCCACACCCACAGAACCAGTTAGTGGTCCCTGGGATTTAAAATTATGAGTTCGGTGGTTCCTGAGGTCCAAAAGGTTGGTGACCCTGATCTAAGGTATTGTTCCAATATCGAGTTAGTTCTTTCACAAGCCCCATTGGTTTGTGGGTGGTGGTCGGAGCTTAAGCCCTGGGCAGAGCCCAATAGTTTCAGGAATTCTTTCCAGAAATTTGAAGTGAATTGGACACCCCTATCTGAAATTATCCATTTAGGAACACCATGTAACCTATACACATGTAAAATAAACAATTTAGCTAAGGTTTTTGCAGATGGGATTTTTGCACAAGGTATGAAATATACCTGCTTGGAAAACAAGTCCGTTACCACCCAAATAACTGTATTTGCCCCACTTTCAGACAATTCCACTATAAAGTCCATAGAAATTTCCTTCCATGGAGCAGTCGGCCTAGCTACATTCTGTAGTAAGATGGCAAGTTTACCAGGTGGCCGGTTAGCCGAAGTGCAAATAGGACAACTAACCATTTAAGCTTCAATGTCCTTCTTAAAAGGAGGCCACCAGAATTGTCGTTTGACCAAATATAGGGTTTTTATGAATCCAAAATGTCCAGCAGCTTTTGAATCATGGGCTTGTTTTGAAATGGGGCCCCTCAAACTAGCTGGTACATATAATTTGGCCCCCACCCATGCCAAACCACCTCTAACCATACAGTCATTTGAGTGGGTCAGGAACCAATCATCTATTTTTAAAGCTTCCTTTAACTGTGTAAACAAATCTTTTGAGATATCAACATCTCCCCTTTTCTGGGCTCTAGTAACCATCAGAACCACCAATTGTTTAGTTGGGACAATGGAACAAATCATTTCCTAGCGGACACTATTATGTTGGGGTAATCTAGATAGTGCATCTGCCATGAAGTTTTTTTTCCCCCAGGAGAGACTTCAGTAAAAAATTAAACCATTCGAAGTATTATGCCCAGCAGACTTGCTTAGGCGAGAATTTTTGAGGCATTTTTAGAGCCTCTAAGTTTTTATGATCTGTCCACACCTCAAAAGGGTGTTTTGCCCTCTCAAGAAAGTGCCTCCAGGTTAATAGAGCCCAATGGACAGCAAAAGCTTCCTTTTCCCAGATAGCTCATCTTCTTTCTATCTCAGTTAGTTTACAGGAGATGTAAGCACAAGGTTGCAAAGTTGCAGCCTCATTTGCTTGTAGTAGCACCGCCCCTACCGCTATATCACTTGCATCGGCTTGGATTATGAAAGGGGTGTCCATGTCCAGGTGTTTTAGCATCAGTTCACTGCAAAGTGTCATTTTAACTTCTCAAAAGCAGCTTGGCACTCCATGGACCACTCCAATGGTCGACTGGGTTTTGGTTTCAACTCTCCTTTAGTTTTTAGGAGGTTTGTAATAGGCAGCACAATCTTCACAAAGGCTGGGATAAACGGTAAAAATTAGCAAATCTCAGGAAATTGCAATTGCTTTCTGGTGTGAGGAGGGGCCCATTTCAAAATGGCCCGGACTTTCCCTGGATCCATTTCTATGCTGTCATGTGATATGCAGTAGCCTAAATAGTCAATTTTCTTTTGGTGGAACTCATACTTGGACAACTTTGCATGTAGTTCAGCTGCTTGAAATTTTGTCAAAACTGACCGTACTAATTTCACGTGCTCCTCAAGAGTCTTGGTATAGATAAGGATATCATCAAGATAAACCAGTACCCCCTTGCATGAATGTTCATGCAGAACCTCGTTTATCAGTTGCATGAATACAGCAGTAGCCCCCCTATAGGTCAAATGGGAGAACGTTGAATTGGAAACATCCCAGAGGGCAATTGAAGGCAGTTTTCCATTCATATCCCTCCTTAATTTGAACTTGGTAGTAGGCTTCTCTCAAATCAAGTTTTGTGAAAATTTTCCCTTTGGCCAGGTGGGCCAACATGTCCTTCATTAAGGGAAGTGGATACACATTTTTCATGGAAATGCAATTTAAATTTCTATAATCAACACACAAGCAAAGAGAGCCATCTTTCTTTTCTTGGAATAATACTGGGGCTGCCATTCAGGGTCTAGCAGGTTGGATGAAACCTCGTTCAAGGTTTTTATCAATAAACAACCACAGTTCTTCTAGCTCCTGTGGTGTCATCGAATAAAATTTAAGCTTAGGGAGTTTCACCCCCAGTAGAATCTCAGTACTGCAGTCTATTGGATGATGAGGGGGAAGCTCATCCGATGCCTTTTCACTAAAAACCTTTTTTAAGTCCCAATATTCTTCAGGGATCTTCTCCTGCCCCCCCCCCCCCATGCTCCCACTGCCCATGGACACCAACTCTGTGGAATTCTGAGGGTCCAGTTGAGACCTCCCCTTCCCTTCTGAGGGTTGGTCAGTGTCTATGCGCACTTGGGGGTTCTACTTCTGGAGCCAGGGCAAGCCTAGTAGACTCCATCCTCAGGGCAACAATAAAACACAAAGTCTCTCGATGCCTCCCCATCATCAGGCTCTGGGGCTTCTTGAGTGGACAGGATTTGAAATTCCACAGAGAAATATCAGCTGCTCTGCAGTTGAATTAAGTGTTTTATCTCTAGATAGTTCCTCCTCAATACGGCTATCTTGAGATAAACACCACTGGCCCTCCAATATGGAAACAAAATTGCCAAATTGCTGAAGATTTTTGCTTAGTTCTACATCCACCCACTCATACCCAATTAGCATAAATTGTTTGAACTCTAGTCAGCTCTGAAAATGTGTGGGAATCATACAAATGCATCTACAGAATGGTGACAGATGGCATTTCCTGGTCACATTTCCTGGTGAAAACAGAGTAATGTTCTTCCACTGCTCTGTGCACCTGCTGCAATCTTTTACTAGCAGCATATGGGAGCACCCTATGGCAGGCAGAGGTTGGAGGGGAAGACGGGAGATAGATAAAAAGGGACCTTGGAGGTTTTCTAGTCCAACATCTTGTTCAGGGCAGGACACCTTACCATCCCAGTCAAATGGTTGTCCAGTCTATTTTTGAAAACCTCTAGTGATGCAACATCCACAACTTTGGGAGGCAAGCTATTCCACTGATTAATTGTTGTCATTGTCAGGATGTTTCTCCTTATTTCTAGGTTGGATCTTTCCTTGATAAATTTCCACCCATTACTTCTTTTCCTGCTCTCTGGTACTTTGGAGAATAGGTTAACTCCCTCTTCTCTGTGATAAATCCTCAAGTGCTGGAAGATTGCTATCGTGTCACCTCTAGTCCCTATCTTTGTTAGACTAGACATACCTAGTTACCTCAACATGCAGCACACTGCTGGATGTGATTGAGGGAGGCAGAATGGGACAATGCACTGCAGCCAAATCACCATGGCCAACATGCTATGGCCAACTCATCACAGCCAATTTGCCATGGCCAAGTCACAGTGAAACAATTTTGATTTAATTATTTAAAATAATTTTTAAAATATTTTAATTTGTGTAATTTATGTCAGAGTATATTCATGACATGAACTGGAATAGAGCTTAGTAACAAGGTCAGCCAATGAGAGCTGAATTGGGGGCTGAAACTTAGAGAATCTGGGTGTGGTTTATCTCTGTTCTGTGTTCAGCTCTAAAGTGAAACTTGCTTGCTTGATGTAACTGATATCTGCTCTGAGCTGCCTGCTTGCTGCTTGTGTTATGTTACATTGAAAGAATCTACTAATAGTTTTGGAAACTTTATTCATGTTATTATGTTTATAAAAAAGTTAATGATCCTGCTGAATGAGTCATCTGTGTGTTTTCTGGACTTGAATTTCTGCTGCAAACTCTAACAATTTACATTTCATTTTGTCACTCCTTTGGCATCCTTTCTTTAATAATTCTATTCCACAATTTCTTCAATGTCTTTTCACAAGTTGGCGAGTTGTCCCATGGTGAGTTGGCCATGGTGATTGGCCCCACAGTGAGTTGGCTGC